TGGATGGATGGATGGATGGATGGATGGATGGATGGATGGATGGATGGATGGATAGATAGACACAATGGGGTGTCAGGCTCCTGCTGGCACACGAACATATATAAATACACATATTTCCCATGAATCGATATTGTTTTTCTCCCACATGCTCCTCCAAAACAAGCATCAGGCAGGACACATTTGTGTTTATGCAAAGCTGATGTGATCCCACAGTGATTGGGGCTGGAATGATCCTGCTTTGTGTTTTTAATCATATGTGGCAGATATTAACAGCATCGTGTCTGAACAAGCCGGGACAGCAGCTTTGTGTGACGGTTCACGTGTCCTTTCCCCAAAGTGACATTTTGCTCAAATTCCCGGTGAAACAGGCTAAATGCGCACTAAGAATGTGGATGTGGCCCCCACGTCCTCCAGGTTGTCCACTCACCGGTACGAGGTCTGTTTTCTGAACGCCAGTCCCCTCAGCTTCTCCTCCAGAGACTCCTGCTCCATGTCGGGCAGGCTGCTGAACGTGTCGCTGCAGCCCATGGCAGCCTCCTCCGAGCCCGCTCCGGACTCCGAGTCACCCCCGTCCGCTCCTAGGGAGGCCGGGCGACCGCCGAAGCCTCCTCCCGCCGCCGGGCTAGCGCGGTCCGTCGCTTGGGGGTCCATGCTGGTCGGTCCTCGGTGTCTCGCCCTGCGCTGGACCCCCTCTCTGCCCCGGCTTGTGACGGGACACAGAAGCCGGTGGCGTAGGGGAGACGAGGACTGAAATGTTTGCGGAGATAAATTTTAAAAATAACAGTTTAAAAAAAAAAAAAAAAGAACCGCGACGTTAATTTTCTCAGCAGCCTGGCAGCTGAGCTCTGTGACCGCTGAACGCCTTTTGTATGCGGCAGCCAGCAGCACGCGCAGAACTGCTCTGCTCTCACGAGCACCAGCACCAACGGCTGCAAGCTGCTTACGTCAAGCTACGTACGTAAAACAGGAAGAGGAATGTTTTGCCTTCAAAATAAAACGCAATCGTGCTAATTAAAAGTGTGTGTGTGGGGGGGGGGATAATTCGCGTCTTTTCATTGTTTATTTTTGGTTTCCCTGTTGTTGTTTTTCTTAGACGTATTTAGGTTGGAAATTTAGTGTCGGTCTTTAAACAAATCCAATAAGTAAATGGTGGATTCTTCTGTTATCTGTTAACTTTTTGTAAAAAATATTAACTTTATTGACTTTAACTTGATTATAACGTGATATATAAGTCGTGTAACCTAACTTGAGCGGAATTTAAGTGAAATAAATATGGAGTAAAATCATATGTGCTCTTTTTTCTTGTACTAAAAAACACTTCTCTTGAATTTTGTTTCTAAAAATGTTTAATCTTTAATTCATTATCATATATGATAGCCGATACAGATGGGTTTTTTTTTTGGTCAGGGAACAGCAGACCAAAAAAATGTGTTTAATTTTTACATTTTTCAATTAGTTATCAATACGATTCAGCTAATTCAAAAACATATTAACTATAAAACTTTGATCATTTTACCTTCCGATGTGTAACAGGATTGTACTGTATGCATTGGTTTTCGTGTTCTAGTAATATTATCAATTTGCCAGCAGGAAATGATAAAACTGTCAGGAGGGGAACATTTTTATTTTTATTTTGAATTACTTCACCGGAAGTTAAATATTTAATTCTTTGTTTAAAGACACGCGTTAAAAAGCTGAAAAGGCGCGAGCTGGTATGAGGGCCGCGACAAAAAGCATGTTTATTTATTACTAAATCCAGCCTGCATTATTCCTAAAACTCATGCATCCATCCATCCATCTATCCATCCATCTGTCTCAGGGTACAAGCAGCGTGGCATTATGGGATATTCCCTCTCCTCCTTTTGTGCAGCATCATCAGTCAGAAAGTAGGGCAGAGAGTGAGCATACTCCCACGAACACATGTCAGTATCTCACTCTGAAACACACACACACACACACACTGTTGAATCTGCACTCCTCATCTGCCATCATGGTGTCATCTCTCGTCCTCTCAGTCATCCACATCTGTCAGGCTGTTTCTGTTACTCTTCTGCCATAAAACAAATTATTTAACCAACATAACTCCAGTCAGATTAAAATGATCTTTAACTATTATTTTCTTGGACTATTTGTTTGTTTTATAAATAGATATGCCTTTTTTTTTTTTTTTTGGACAAGAAATTAATTAAATGTTCAATAAAGTGGTCTGATTATTATGGTCAACTCAAATATTTGAGTATTTTTATTTCAAAGTTGCACTTCTTAAAGAATATAGACCAGACTCACATAGATGTTCATATTACAAAGCTTTCATTGAGTATTTTGTTTGCATGTGTTTGTCTGTCTGTTAGTAAAATATCTCATGAGTCATGGAACGGATTTAATTAAAAAATCACGTAAATTGATCATTGGTTGTACATACAACTGATTACCGTATTTTCTGCTGTAAACGTCGCACCGCCGTATAAGTCACATCTATTATGCATCACCGCTGACCACCCGGAAATGTGGGCCGTTGTTGTGCCAAAAATCAATTGGCTGCCAAACGGCGGCCGCGGGAGCGTGCACGGGAGGACTTTAACAAGAATTTAACAAGATTAATACTTAAAAACAAATATTTGTTTGCTCAAAATTATAGTAAATGTGGGTCGCAGTTGAACGTTTCCTTAATAAATGCACTTTAATGGTCAAATCAGCTGCTCCTGCGGCACGGCGAAATGCAGTTGATTTGATGTTTGCTCCAAGAATTACAGAATGAGACTAAGTTGGCCTTGTATGGCAAGTTAAGTGTCTCATTAATAGCCACTTTTATCTATTAATGAGACACTTGGCTTGCCATATTGGTCGAGGGCCCTCTAGTGGCTGAAAATGGTAGTGTTCAATATTTTTCACGTCAGAATACATGAAATCATCAAATCTTAGCCAAATATTGGGTTATAAATATGGGGAAAAAACATATATTGGTTGCTTTGGTGTATGTCGCAGGACTTGCAAATTTATGCAAAAAGTTGCGACTTATACGTTGAAAAATACAGTATTTTAGTCATCAGTTGACCTTAAGAAACACATAAATGTATCTAACTCGGACAGTTTTACAGATATCGAGCTAAAGCCTGATGTGGTAGTAGCTGAGAGTCATTCACAGCACATAGTCTAAAGGTTGAGTGATCATGCGGGAGCTTCGTTTGGAACTTTGGCATGAACGATATGAATTCCTTGAAGGAATGCAGCGTTCACATCAACAAGTTTGGTCTTTTTTTTTTTTTGGTCTTCTCCGCTTCACTTGACGACTGTTGGAAAGTTTTATTTTTACATCCAAATAAACCATAATTAAGCTGTGTGTACTGTAGCTGTACGGTTCAGGTCATGCTTTCGCTCTCATTACTCACGTCAGTGTCACGGCAGCGCAACGCTGGGAGCTGGAGTTTATGGCTGCTACTATGAGAGGGGGTTGTTTGGAGGCCGAGACACTGCCTTGGGACTGTCGGAGCAATTCACACTTCTTATTACGAGGTGCTGCCGCTGACCTATTTTCAGATGGTTTTCATGACAGAACAAAAAAGACGGAAGCTTCTTTATCATCTGGTGTGTTAACAAAACACCTCTCAGTCTAATGGAGTTTAACTTTCATGTAATTTACAGCAGTCAGAGAACTGCTTCATGACGAAATATGTTCATTTCAAACAACTTCATGCGGTTTGTTATTGACATTAACCATATATAACACTGACAAATTTATTTTTTATGTCTGTAGATTTAAATATTTGTGTAAATAGAAAGAGAAAAATAATTAAAGCCTGAATGACGGTTCACGTCATGCTGCAAACAACACGACCCTTTCCTGTCCTTTATGGATTTCAAATGATAACAAAAGGAAACAGGCGTAATTAAAACCCATTTGGGAAGCATCAGAGCTTGTTAAAGCATTTTGGATTAGGTTTGAGATGGGTTTGGTATGGATCAGATGGTCTTGGCCCAGAATTTGTTGGTTTTTAATTCAATCTTTTTTTTATTTATTTTTTTTGCAACAAGATAAATGTCCAAATGGCTGCGACACAAACCCACAACATGACTGATCCGTGTACAACAGCTGGGAGAACGGTTGCGTCATAAATGTTTTAACAAAATACATTTTTACCAACTAGATTGAACTAATTTAACTCGTTACAACCTTAAACTTCTTACGTCTTGAAAGAAATGCAACAAAAATTGTCATCTAATGAGCACGTGGACAAAATGTGCTCCAAATCAGATGTGTCAACATCTTCAACTCAACTAGCACAGAAAGTAAAGATATTTGTGTTTGGTTGATTAATTTTTCATTGTTAGAATGCTACTTGGAAATAAACCATATACAATTGGAAAATCTGTTTATGTTCCCTTAAATGGTGCCACTTTTGTAAAGAAAATGCATTTGTGGATTGAACAGCAGAGTTGAGTATGTGGGATGCTCTCTTCACTGCCAAACAGCTGATTCTGCTACTGACTCGTTTTATGCTGTTTAGTGTGACTGAAGTCACAAGAAACAAAACATATTGGCTATATATTTTTATTTAGCAAATAACAGCCTGAGTGACATGTGGAGGAACCATACACAGCCACAACAGCCTGGTACCTCCACTGCTGAGGGGCGGCGTCCCATTCTTCAACCAGAATTTGCAGCAAGTCAGCCAGTGTGGTTATGTTGGTCACTCTGGAACAAACAGCTGAGGCTGAGGTCAGGATTGCAGACAGCCCACTTAATCCAGTCCACTGAGGTAGTCCCTGATGAGCCCCGCCCTGTGGGGGCGAGCGTCGTCATCTTGGAGGAATGAGTTTCATCCAAGACGGTGGAAAAATGGTTTAATGGAGACCTCAAAAGCTTTGTAAGTTTGCACGAAGGCTAATTTATGACGTTGTTCCAAAATGCATATTAAGAGTCCCATTTATAGCCTCAAGCTGGACAGGAAGTGCTACAGCTAGCTGCTGCTTCTGCATACATGTTCTGACAAATGACTAGAAATCTATGTAAATAAACGGAAATGTAAAGATTTACAAAATGGTGCGCAAAAGATATTAACCTTTACACAGAACCTCACGTCAAAAACTTTGAACAATCACTTTATTTAAGTTTAAATGGCCCAGTGGAAAAAAAGTGTTTCATCTAACCCAGTTGGTCTGCAACCTTTTAAATCAGAAGACCTTTAATTTACTAAACAAAACGTGTCTAGAGCTGCAAAACTTGCTACAACAGTTATTATCAACTGGTGGCTCATGGGCCACTCCAAATTTGTATGAAGTTTTTTGTTGTTGTTTTTTTCAGCCAGTGGGGATGACTGTATAAACAAATATATAATTAATTTTAACATTCATTAATAATTATATATTTTAGGGCTAAAAAAAAAGACCACATTCATGTAAACAAAGGGAACATATCTCAAACCAATTTTACCCCAACATAATGTAACCCTGAACTCTGCAGGTTTATTTGAGTCTTCCTTTTAATTTTAGAAAAATAAAAATAATTATGTATCCCCACTTTAAAGTAATAAAGCATAAATTTAATGTGTTTAAATAGTAGGTTATTTTGTATATGATATGTAATTGTGGCAACACATTTACTTTAACTTGAGGGGTTTTTTTTTATATGTAAAAAAAACGTACAAAAAATACAGCATGAAGCATAATGTCAAAACTTTTTGTTTTACATATTCAATGGAGTGAGTAGAAGTATTAATTTATCAAAATTCCCACTCCTTAACCACTTATATAATCTTATATTTATTACATGTATAATCCATACATATAACAACTTAACCCATATTTTATAGTATCTTTGTACAGTAGACAAACAATTTACTTAATTTCACCAAAAAAAAAAAAATTGCACCAATAACAAAAACATGAACAATAATTGAATAATAATAATATATAATATATCCAGCAATAATCATATGTTTATATGATCATTTGAACAGTTTTTATATTTGGACATTGTCTAAGTTCAATTTTTAAATTATTCCACAGTTTGACTCCACTTACTGATACATAAACATTTTTTCTAGTAGTTCTGAATTTGCACATTTTAAACTGTGATTCCCCCATAAATTCATAAATTTGCTCCTTAGTCTTAAACAGGTTTTGAACGTTTTCCGATATTGTTTCTTTTTGGCTTTGTAAAGAATTAGAGCTTTCTGTAGTTTACCTTTGTCAATGAACATTAATAGTTTAGATTTAACAGTGTATTAGTGCTTTCTAAATATCCCACCTTATGGATTATTCTTATTGCTCTTTTTTGTAGTATTGTTAATGCCTGTAGTGTAGTTATGTAATGAGTGCCCCAGATTTCTTCACAATAACTTAAATAAGGTAAGATTAGCCAACAGCAGAGTACATGTAATGCTTTTTGTTCTATGACCAACTTGACTTTAAGAGGATGATATTTCTTGAGACTTTACTTTGAACATATCTGATGTGTGGTTTCCAGTTGAGTTTATCATCAATGACACGTAGAAATTTGTTTTCATGAGCTCTTTCAATTTTCACACCATCTATTTGTTTTTGAATTTCATTAATCGACAGTTCCCAAATAACCTTATTTTTGTTTTGTTTAGGTTCAAGGACAGATTGTTTTCATGAAACCACATTTTAAGTTTGTTCAATTCATCAGTTACATCCTTTAACAGTTGTTCCATGTCATCTCCAACACAAAAAATGTTTGCATGATCGGCAAATAGTATGCTTTTCATGATCTTAGGTACAGTACATTATAAACAGCTTGGGACCCAAGAGTGACCCCTGAGGAACCCCACAAATTTAACTTTAATTCTATCTATCCATCGATTATTCACCTTATTTCTAGCTCGTTCTAAAGGTATTCCAAATAATTTTTGGTGGATTTGAGAGAAAAATCCTACTGTAAGGCCAGAAGTTGGATAAATGAAGTAGCTAAAGCTAATCATCGTTTTCTCCTTGATTTAGTAATTTATTTAAAAAATTTGTAGAAAAACTGCTCAAGATTGCAATTTTTCTTTACTGTGGGTACAAAAACAAACGAGTTTACATTTTGCATTATGTTTGGTCGAAGCTTCAAGGGGCCACAGCCCAAGGACCAAAGAGCCGCTTGTGGCCCCAGAGCCGCAGGTTGCAGACCCCTGGTCTAACCTAATAGAGGGTTGTGAAGAGGCTGGCTTGTCTGATCTCCTCGTAGTTCAGATGTTGTCATCCTGTTCCTTCTGAGGCTGTTTTGAGTGACTGACAAAGTCTGACGACTGAAAAAAGCTCGATGAACCGGTTTGCTTTAAGAATTAATAAAAATCTAAACACCCCAAATGAAACGTTTCAAACATCAGCAAGTTTATCACACACAGTCACAAAAAATACACTTTTACCAAGTAAAATATTTTATTTTTTAAAGCAAGAAGACAGTTTAAACTGTATTTACACAGGAGCAACAAATAAATGAGATTAAAAAAAAGTTAACTGGCTGTGAGACATTTTTACAAAGTAGAATCGATTTGTTTGCCTCGTGTTCCTAAAGACATGGCAGTAAGAAATGTGCATCCAGACATCTGAACCCTCTGATCTAACACTGGACCAGAACAACTTTAACCGTTACGGTTTATATCTACGTTCAACAAACATCAGCTGGAAGGGAGAAGAAAGTGTTTCAGAGTTCATAATTTATCAACAGCCCCCAAATAGAGCCATGATAAATTATGGATCACTCCTAATCGACAGTTTTTATTCATCAACAATCCACGTTTACAAAAATAGAAACTTTCTTTCATTTATGAAAGGATTTATTTTTGGCAAATGCTGGAAAAACATCAAGTGAAGGCTCTTGAAGGCAAAGATAGCAAGGCAGTTAGCTTAGCTTAGCATAAAGACTGGAAGCAAAGGGAAACGGCTAGCCTCACTTAAACAAATGTAACCACAACTTAAATGTTTTTGCAGGACACCAGATATCACATGATGACTTCTGATTTGCATATATAAAATAACTTGTCACATAAAAATGCAGATGAGTTAAAACGGTTCACAAATGTAAAAAAAAAAAATTATGGAAGAAAAGGAAAAATGTTGAGTTTTCCTCCAATTTACTTCCTACTGCAGAAAAACAGGCAGATTTTAACTGAGCCGTAAATTAATCAAATAAATCTTTTAACACACCCAAAATATGCGAGTATCACTCCATGTGAACTACAAATTCACCAATTTATGAACTTAACAATAAAAAATATTCATAATTTTAAATGAGACTGAAACAAAGACAAGAAACTTTGATTCAGAGGAAGTAAATATAAACAACATATATACATAAGAGCACAAATAAAATACAAAATACAACAAGCATGTATCAAAATAGAATGAACGCATGAGTGGAATGGAATAAAAATATTTAATAGCAACAAAAACAAAAAGAGTTTCTATAAATACAGAAGTCGTCGTCATTGTCCTGTAAAAACCAGTGCCTCTTTATTATCAGGATAGGGTTCAGTGTTTGGATCGTGAGGAGGCCTTAATCCATCAGCAGCTGTAGGTTTGCTTCAGGACACCAAGCATGCGCCGGACAAACCGGGGATCATCCTCAGGACGTCTCGTTCACCGATCGATCCAGTTCTATCACGTTGCTGTTCGACCTCTGATCCAGAGACCTGGCAGCCGAAACACGCAACATGCCTTCAACAACTTTTAACGAATCTGAAAGCTCTGGCGTGGACGCGCGGAGGTCTCGGCTCACCTGTGCAGGTCCAGCAGCAGGTTTTTCTGCGTGTCGTTGCTTTTATTCCTGAAAGGTGGATGTGTTTCTGCTTTGCTGGGCTCCGCCGCGAGTTTCTGTTGCTCAGAGCGACGCCACGCTGCCATGACGATGGCCGGCGTGTCCTCCCAGTGGTCGGGATACTCCCCGCCCAGGCCGAGGAGGTGGGGCTGCTCCTCTTCGAAGGTCGATAGCAAACTCCTGGATTTAACTAAAACGAATGAATGAAGACGGTTTAGTGAGAGTAGGGAGCAGGTGGAAGAGAGTCCAGAGAGGCGGAGGTACGTTTCTTTGCACTTTAAACAGTAAAAGTATTATTTTAACATTGTAAACTAAAAACGATGTATAACACAGACATTACCTCTTTATTTAAAAAAAAAATTAAGTTTGTGTGAAGAGGATGTGAGAAGAATCTGAATTTGATTGTTAAGAAAATTAGATCCAATTTCAATTACCAAAGAGTGTGTTTCAGTCTGTGTGTGTGTGGGAGGTAATAAGGATGCAGGGAAAGGTCAATTCTTCAGATTGGTCTCTGTAGTCATCGCTGCTCAGCTGGAGGTGGAATCTGATTAGTGCTGATGTTATAATGGACCACCAGAGTTTTAGAGGCAGGAACTGATGATTCATTACAGTGGAACGAGCAGGGCAGGCCAGGAAAACACTAAACGTTATGAAAAATGACTAACTCGGTTTGTGTGCATCTATTACCCATAACGGAAAACTTCAGTAGACTAGCCACTGATTTTATTTTGACAATCTCTTCGAGTCATTTAGCTGCATCTCAAGAGGGTCTCGAGTCCAGCAGACCTTAAATCCAACATTTTGGACTGAACAAAGACCATCAACACAAAACATTGATGTTGGCAGTCCAACAGTAGGAACAGAGACATCCAGTCAAACGACACAAAGACCCATCTGAAGAGCAACATGTTCTGCCAACAGAAACTAGAACCCTTAAAGGGCTGAGGCTCCATGAGACACCTTTTCAACATTTTGTCCAGTTAGATGGTTTTTGTTCTGGAGTTGGGTTTATTCACAAGGGGGTACCACAAGGTTCTGTACTAGGCCCTTTGTTATTTATCTTGCATATTAATGATTTTGGAAAGGCTATTTCAAATGGAGCAATTCATTTTTATGCAGATGACACAGTCATATATTGCTTTGCACCTACGCCCACAGAAGTGTTTGCATACATGCAGAATGCATTCAATAGAATACAAGAACAACGTTGTCCGCTTCAACTTGTTTTGAATGTTGACGAAACAAAGCTAATGTTTTTCAGCAACTCAACAACAGCAACAACCAGTCTATCACCACTAGTGATGGTCAACAAACTGAACTTGTATCTACGTTCAAATATCTGGGATTTTTAATTGATGACAACTTGTATTTTAAAGCGCATATTCAGTTTAACTGAAGCTTTTACTTGGATTTTATTTTCAGAATAAATCCTGCTTTTCTTTTAGGGTAAAACAGAAACTGGTGGAGTCAACTTTCCTTACAATTATTGACTATGGTGATGTATTATTTGGGGCGGCTGTGGCTGAGTAGTTAAAGCAGTCATCCTCCAATGCGAGAGTTGGGGGTTCGAATCCACCAGCAGTCACATGCTGAAGTGTCCCTGGGCAAGACACTGAACCCCTCATAGCCTCTGATGTGCGTCCCATCGGTGTGTGAATGTGATAAAGCTCTGATTAGTCTCATTAGAATGATTTGTTCAATTAGCTTTGTAGAGATCTAGTAGAGCGCTGTATGAATGGGTAAATGAGGCACAGATTGTAGTGTAAAGTGCTTTGAGTATCTTGAAATAAGATAGAAAGGCGCTATATAAGTACAGTCCATTTACCATATTATACATGAACGCCTCTGCTCAATGTCTTCACATGCTGGATAGCATGTATCATGGTGCTTTGCAGTTTATTACAAATTATAGAGCCCTAACTCATCACTGTCTCTTGTATGCTAAGGTAAAATGGCCATCTCTGTATGTACGCTGGCTTGGCCATCGATATGTTTTGATTTACAAGGCTATTCTCAAGTTGACAGCACCTTATCTTTCACCTTTGTTAACTTTAAACAACAGGACCTAAAGCCTCCGGTCTCAAGACTTTTAAAATTTTAGTGTTCCTCTTGTCAGAACAGAAAGGGGCAAGAAAGCCTTCAGCTTCTCTTCTCCAACCTCATGGAACAGTTTGCAATCAAAGCTTAAACTTAAAACAATAGTACCTCTGAATGTATTTAATACCATGATACATCCCATTATGTTCAAGTTTCAGAAGTGCAATTGTTTTAATTGAGTCATTTGTTTTATTGCAAGTCTATTAGGGATGCACAATATTATCGGCATGGTATCGGTATCAGCCCATATTAGCGATAAAAAGGGCATCTGCACTTGGTAGCAGGCCAAATTACCAAACACCATGCAGAATAATGTAGTATTTTAATTCCACAGCAGAGAAAGCTCTGTAGTCTCTGCAAGTAGGTCTAGGGGGAAAAATATCGGTATTGGCATCGGTTATTGGCCAAATAAGTTTTACCATGTTGGCATATCAGATATCGGCCAAAAATCCAATATCGTGCATCCCTAAAAAGTCTGTGTTTATTGTGACTATGTTGTAACTGAGTGTTTTTCCTTCTCTCTGTATGATGTCAGTCTTGGCCAGGTCTCTCTTGTAAAAGAGATCTTTTGATCTCAATGGGACTAACCTGGTTAAATAAAGGTTATTATTATTTTATAAAAAGGTTCATCATTAACTTTTGGGCTTTTCTCTTTTCATTGGTGTGTCATACACTACACTACTATAGATATACTACACCATATACTATGCATATAGCTTTGAGTGCATATTAAGCAAGATAAGCTGCAAAAACGTGCAAAGATCAGAGAAGAATACACGTAAATATATTATTCAAACCATCTAAAACAAAAAAGCTGAGTTTGTTAGAGCCTATTAAGGGCATATTGAAAAGTTTAACCACTGGGAGGCAGCATAGTGACTTGGTGTCATCATGTCCAGAGGTGGATACATTTGTTGGTACTCTTACAGCTCACTGAAACAATGCTTTGTTTCTTGTAGTTAAAAGCCATCTCCAAGCAGCTTCAAGTTCTTCTGAGCAAAGCTACTAATTATTAAAAAGTAGAAGGTTCATGGAGCTGTTGCCAACCGCCCAGGAAGTGGACGCAAGGGGAAATGCGACCCCAGGTTGATAAGAGGGATAGTACAGATGGTAGGAAAAATAAATCTAAAACCATTGAAGCTGAACATCAAGGTCAAAGTACTTCACTTTCAGCATCTGTCATGGGCTCCATGGGTGAAGACCAGGAGGGTAGAAAAAAATTTAAAATTAAAAATCCAGACAGGAATCTTCTAAAATGCGCCTGAAGCTTCAAAGTTTCTGGGACTGATGAGACAAACTGGAGCTTTTTGGCTCCAGCCACATCGTTTGTGTTTTTTGATTATTATAGAAAAGTACCAGAAAATGTATCCGTGTCTGTAAACTGGCTCCATCTGAACAGTCAGTGGGAAGATATTTAATGTGACACCCAGGAAACAAACGGAATCATTTGTGCTTTCCCCACACATCTCTTGGTTTTCAGCTGTTTCAATCTTTGCATGCGCTGAAAGAATATCAAGCAAACCTCTGGACGTCATCTTTTCAGAAAAATTAAATGGATAACTAGATCAACCAGTAAATAAATAAATTCTGCAACAAAAAGCAAGGAATGAGCTGAAAGGACCTGAATAAGCTCATCTTAGTGACATCAACAACATTCTTATTAGAATACCAAAATGTACTTTTATTCCCCCTTTCATAAAACTTACAAAACAGCTGTTTTGCTTCAAAATATATTGTTTAAGTATATATTATCTATGTTTTATGTTGACCAGCCATGAGAAAACGAACGCTCGCCTGGAGTTATGAAGTTATTTATCATGTGTGTAGGAGTTGTGCGTTAGTGATTACCTGTAGCGGTGTAGGACTCTTGGACGTCCATCTGTTTGGATGTTGCGCTCGTTTCAGCGATGCTCGCACAAGAAGTCAAACCGCCCGGATAAAAGCTCCCCAGAAACAGAGCGAAACACAACACGACCACCTAAAGGCGAACAGACAGACAAAGAGAAGGATGAATAAATTATAGATGGTGCTAAGTGTTGGACTGCTGGCGATTGATGGAAGCAGATGTTTCCAATCCAATAATCAATGTTGCTCAGTGTTGGACAAACATGTTACCATTAGGCATGATGAAGTCTGGGAGCCAGCAACCCTGCAGGACTTGTGGACTTTTCCTGCCACCATCGCCTGCAGAGACTGCAGCTGCTGCAGCAGAGACCTGCAAACACACACAGGTTACACAAATTAATACAAACCGTAAAGACACGCACAGTCGAGTGTTCGTTCTGCGTTTCCGTTCCCTACGCTTCCAAGTCTAAAGTCGATAAACGATACTAAATGAGTAAAAATGGAAGAAACCACTTTATTTGCCAATAGTCTTACAAAGGACACAACCCAAGCGTGAGAGATTTAGCTGCTGGTTTTGTTTCTCTGGTGTGTCGATAAAACTCCAAGCAGGTTGCACCATTTTTCATTGCATTAATGGACCTTTAATTAAGGTGCAAAGAGGCTAAAGTTTAAAAAAAGAAAAATTCAGTTATGTAAATAAAATTAAAGACCAACAGAAAAACTTCAGCAGTGTAAAAAAACTAATAAGAAACATGAACAATTCTAAAAATCTTAAGTGTTTTTAATCTTTTATATGATTATTTGACTAACACACTGTAGTTCTCGTTTCACAGTTTTCAAGATATTTCAACAAATCATAAAACAAAACGTTCAGCTCTTTCAGGACAATCCTGCTATGACTTTTGGTATTGGTGCAACTTTAGCTTTTTGAAATATTTAGCCTTTTCTGACATTTTTTCCCCAAATAAAAAATGAATTGAGCTCATTTTACATCCTTCAGCTCTTTAGATCTGTTTACAAACTTTTATTGCTCCTTTCACATTTTGTTCTGCTTCAGCTTCTTTCAGCTTCCTCGTGCAAATTTTAAAAATCCTGCTACTTTCAGCTGTTTTGAGCTCCTTTCTGCTTTATTTAGCTAACTACAACATTTTTCTTCTTCTTTCTGATAATTTCAGCTCGTTATGCTCCTTTCAGCTTATTCCTGTGTTTCAGCTATTGCTGCTATTTCAGCTACTATTTAGCTGTTTTTATGCTAATTTGAGCTTTGTAAGCTAATTCCACATTTTTTGTACTCATTTAAACTTTTTCAGCCTAATTCAGCAAAACTGTACTCTCTCGACTTTCTTCTGGTAATTTAAGCTTCTTTCCATCTTTTTAGCTACTAATCAGCTGGGGCTTTTGTTGCTGATAATTTCAGCTTTTTTAACCAATTTACTAATTGTTGTGCTCTTTTCTGCTTCTTTCAGCCTAATTGGGTGCAATTGTGCTCTCCAAATCCTTCTGGTAATTTAAGCTTCTCTCTGCCTTTTCAGCTATTTCTAGCCAGTTTTAGCTTTTTAGCTAACTGACAAATTTTTGTGCTCATTTCTGCTTATTTAAACCAAATTCAGCAAATACGTGTTCTTTCTGCTTTCTTCTGCTAATTTAAACTTGTTCTTCCATTTCAGCTAAATTTCAGCTTGTGTTTAGCTAATTTTGACTGTTTTTCAGCAAGTTCTTCAGCAATACGCATTCACACTGCATTTTCGCAGGAAATGCAATTTCTCTAGTTAGTTCTAATTTTATTGGAAAGAGTTTCTTTTTACTAATCAAAATTTAAGGTGCAAGCTATATTTTAAATAGTGATAAAAAAACATTAGGTGCATTAATTAGTACCTTACAGAACCAACAATATGCCCTTTTACTGATCTATATTTTTATTTATGCTGTCTAATATAAGATGTTGACATGATCTAAAGCTCTAAGAAGTCATTATGTTTCACGGACAACAATACTCCAGCACCTTTTGGCACCATCTGTCTAAAATGCTCTGTGATTGGTTCCTGCCTCACCTGTCTGTCTAAAGTCTGCTCTGATTGGCTGAGCTGCTGGCGCAAGATGGCTTGAATCAAAAATGGCTTTAACTCGGTCTGTTTTAGAGATTTTGAGCTAAACGTTGGTGTGGTAGTAGCTGATAGTCATCCATTAGATATTGTAAGTGAGAGTATTGTTCATATTATTTTTAAGGTTTGACCAAAACGACTAAAAACACCATGGACAAGTTGAACCTTTAATCTGAAGAGGGTTCAAACATTTAATAAAATAGAATGGATCAGTCATTTCTTGCAGTTTGTTGTAATCACTGTGGGCATAGATTCCTTTTTTACTTGTCTTTTATTCATAAGTAGATGTTGGACCGACATTTTGTCTTGTTGTTGGTGTTAAAACAAACGCTCCGTTTATCTTTTCAGCAGCGACAGTAAAGTCCACTCCAACCACCGAGCGCTGAACCCGCACTTAACCCGGCGCGCTCGCTCCGTGCAGCACACGCGTTTTTATTTATCCGACGCAGCTCCACACCCACTCGTGATTGTGCATGAAATCAAACGTGCAGCTGAGAGAATCCACAGGGAGCTTCTGATTCAGCGTTATTTTCAAACGTTAAAAGTGAGTCGGCGCTTCCCAGCTGGTGCATCTGGAGGAGGAGGAGATGAGGAGGCAGGAGCATCAAGTGAAGCTGCAGACTGTAATCAAGCCTTCAACGTAAACACAGCTTTTATTGCTCCTCACTTCGTCCTCGGGAGGTTCTGCCCTGACTTTTTGTCTCCTCCTCGCGCCTGCTGCTCCGTCTGCAGCTCCAGATGTTCATCTGGTTGCCTCAGAAGGCAGTTTAAAAAGTGCAAGAAATGCAAAAACATACCCGTTTACTTTTGAGCTGATAGCTAACGTATGGCTGAAAGAACACGCCGAAGAAACTAATTCAGCTACACTTGATGGCTAAACCAAAAAAAGCACCATTAAAAATAAGAATTCATAATTTCCAAGATTTTAGAATCTAAAACACATTTTAGAGGAGGTTTATTTTGAATCAGGGTTTTCTGTGTTTTGTTATTTGATTGTTTTATGCACTCGTTTTTCGGCTTTCTGCCCAGAAAATGAATTCAGCTAAATTTTATGGATTTTATCGCTTTAAAAAGGTCAAAAATGTAAAATCTTGAGTGTAAAGACCTGCACATTTTCCCCTTTTAAAATGATTAACTCGCTTTAAAAATGTTCAGGACATTTTTGGTGTACAAGAACAAACATGTACTGTATTTTCAGGCGTATAAGTCGCATCAGTCAAAAAAAAAAGCATCAGGAAGAGGGAAAAAACATATAAGTCGCATTTATTATGCGTTTATTTAATGGTCAAAACAGCTTCATTTCGCCTAGGCAGCGCCGTCCATCCATTCATTTAAAGCGTCAGTCAAAAATCGCATTATGAATATGTAAAAAAAAATGGATATAAGTTGCAGGACTGACAAATTTATGTAAAAAAAAACAAAAAACTGTGACTTATACGCCGGAAAATACGGTACTTTAAATGTACACGACACACTAAAAGAAGCACCGTACAGAAAAACACATAAAAATTTAAAAAAGACACATTTTACTTTTTGTGGCAAATCTATGTTTACGTTTATGAACGTTAATCTAAACCATGACTTTGTATAAATTTCTGATGATAAAAATACATAAAACTACTATTTAAATAATTTGATTTGCGAATAAAATAAAGTTAGGAAAGAATAATTATTATTTTAATCTTCGTTTTCTGTTTTACATACGTTTTTAAACCTGGAAAACGAGTCAAAACTAATTCAAGACTTTTTTTTTTTAAACACAGAGCCCTGAGCATATATAGGAAATCTCTTGGAGAGGGGAAGAAACGAGCGGCTCATAAACAAACTATCAGCTTAAACGTTTCTTTTTCAGTCTCTGTAGGTGAGGAGATGGACTGAGGGTGAAGGGATGAAAAGAGAAGTTCCTACTTGTTGGTGCACTCCAGAGTCTCCACTTTCCTGCGCAGCTCGTTGTTCTCGTTGGAGCAGGTCTCCACCCTGTGATCAGAGAGCGACACCGCAGGGTCAGAGCTGATCGTCTTCAGCTGCTTTTACACCATAAACAGATTATTTTCATAATTTACTAATATTAACTTCAGTTCATCTGACATTCATTTACAGCAGTAACATTAACATCATCATTATTAACACCTGACAGGAAATTATTAAATTAATCTGTCTTTGTTATGCTGATAATAATGCGTATAAAACTTTATTTAAAATGTCGTTTTTGACATTTTTTTTGTCATATCAAGAAAAAATATATAAAAGAAAAGCGTGGGGTTACTTTTTCTCCAGAGCGTCCATGTACTCCTTCTTCTTCCTGCGACTCTCTTGAGCTGAAATCTGAAAGAAAATAAAAAAAACACAGTTAGAAAAACTTAAAAGGATAATTCCCACGTGACGCAAATATTTCCTTCCTCCTTGAGTTTCCTTAAACCATCATGATACGGTCGTTTATTAACGCTCTTAATACTTGAGTATTTTTCATTCAACCTTTATTTATACAGGTTTGTCCCATTGAGCCTCGGGACTCATTTACAAGAGATCTGAACTGTATTGACAGTAAACAGTTTTGAGTATTAGGTTTTATTACCAAACACAGTATTAATCACACATACTTGCTCAAATGAAAGGTTGGTTTTGAAGAGGGAAACATAATTTAGAGCAACCGAATTGTTTTCCTTTAGTAAAAGCAGAATCTCTTGATTATTTTCTAATTTAAAAACACACCTGGGCGGTTTGACTTTCAAGGACTCGTTCTTTCGTGGTTTTTCAAAGTACCGTAAGATTGAACGCGAGGAAAAAAAACAAACAAACAAAAAACAAATTGTACACGACACATGATTGTCAACTTTAATATTCCTCACGTCATTGTGACAGTACGGTAAAAAGTTAACAAAAAAATGTAATACTTCAGACAGGCGTAGCCATTTTGTAGTTTTCTCTCAATAAGCCTACACTGCATCCTCGCTCAAAAGGACTACATTTCCCAGAAGCCCCATTGCCTCCTTCTAAAATACTAGTAGGAAAGTTTTGATCCGATTGGAAAAGGTTCGGTCCTTATTCATACAGTGACTTTGGTGCCCAGCAGATGCAGAGCTGCACAGAACCCACTGGGAACTGGACCAGAACCAGAGCAGAACTGGACCTCCAGACCCATCGGTGAAGCCGAGAGCTGGTAGTTGACCCAAAAGGACTTCCGAGTGGTAAAGGCACCACAGAAGGGTCGGCTACTCTCTGGAGCACACCAGGACTTTGTTTATCTCTTTATCGGACCGCTCAATAGGACCATCGGTCCCGCGCCGGCCATCTGAGGTTCACCCACCCCCCCAAAATGTGCTTCAGAGCTCAAGGGCTGCACAGAACCGGAGCAGAACCGATAGCCGCTGCTGTTCTGCTACTAGATACATATACATACAGTACCTTGCGAAAGTATTCGGCCCCCTTGAACTTTTCAATCTTTTGCCACATTTCAGGCTTCAAACAGAAAGATATAAAATTTTATTTTTTTGTGAAGAATCAACAACAAGTGGGACACAATCATGAAGTGGAATGAAATTTATTGGATGTGTCAAACTTTTTTAACAAATAAAAAACTGAAAAGTGGGGCGTGCAATATTATTCGGCCCCCTTGCGTTAATACTTTGTAGCGCCGCCTTTTGCTGCAGTTCCAGCTGCAAGTCTCTTGGGGTTTGTCTCCATCAGTTTTGAACATGGAGACACTGAAATTCTTGCCCATTCTTCCTGCAAAACAGCTCGAGCTCAGTGAGGTTGGATGGAGAGCGTTTGTGAACAGCAGTCTTCAGCTCTTTCCACAGATTCTCAATTGGATTCAGGTCTGGACTTTGACTTGGCCATTCCAACACCTGGATACGTTTATTTGTGAACCATTCCATTGTAGATTTGGCTTCATGTTTTGGACCATTGTCTTGTTGGAAGATAAATCTCCGTCCCAGTCTCGGGTCTCTTGCAGACTCAAACAGGTTTTCTTCCAGAATGGTCCTGTATTTGGCCCCATCCATCTTCCCATCAATTCTGACCATCATCCCTGTCCCTGCTGATGAAAAGCAGGCCCAAACCATGATGCTGCCACCACCATGTTTGACAGTGGGGATGGTATGTTCAGGATGACTAACTGTGTTGCTTTTATGCCAAACATATCGTTTTGCATTGTGGCCAAACAGTTGGATTTTGGTTTCTGACCAGAGCACCTTCTTCCAGATGTTTGGTGTGTCTCCCAGGTGCTTGTGTCAAACTTTAAACAACACTTTTTTTATAGATATGTTCGAGTAATGGCTTTCTTCTTGCCACTCTTCCATAAAGGCCAGATTTGTGCAGTGTACGACTGATTGTTGTCCTATGGACAGACTCTCCCACCTCAGCTGTAGATCTCTGCAGTTCATCCAGAGTGATCATGGGCCTCTTGGCTGCATCTCTGATCAGTCTTCTCCTTGTTCGAGATGAAAGTTTAGAGGGACGGCTGGTCTTGGTAGATTTGCAGTGGTCTGATACTCCTTCCATTTCAATATGATTGCTTGCACAGTGCTCCTTGGGATGTTTAAATCTTTTTGTATCCAAATCCGACTTTAAACTTCTCCACAACAGTATCTTGGACCTGCCTGGTGAGTTCCTTGGTCTTCATGATGCTCTCTGCGCTTTGAACAGAACCCTGAGACTATCACAGAGCAGGTGCATTTATACAGAGACTTGATTACACACAGGTGGATTCTATTTATCATCATCAGTCATTTGGGACAACATTGGATCATTCATAGATCCTCACTGAACTTCTGGAGTGAGTTTGCTGCACTGAAAGTAAAGGGGCCCAATAATATTGCACGCCCCACTTTTCAGTTTTTTATTTGTTAAAAAAGTTTGACACATCCAATAAATTTCATTCCACTTCACGATTGTGTCCCACTTGTTGTTGATTCTTCACAAAAAAAAAAAATTTCATATATTTATGTTTGAAGCCTGAAATGTGGTAAAAGGTTGAAAAGTTCAAGAAGGCCGAATACTTTCGCAAGGCTCTGTATGTTATTAAAATTAGTAGGTTTAAGAGTTTAGAACATTGCAAGAGTGTGGGAAGAAATTATAAGGTCTTAAAATATATATAAATACTAAAATAAATATACTGTCACTACTTTGCGGATTTTCACTTATTGCAGGGGGGTCCGGAACGTAACCCCTGTAATAACCGAGGGACTACTGTATTAGGAGCTAAGGGGAGGTGATGCATGTTCCCACCTTGTTCTTGATCTTCCTGCGGATCTTCTTCAGTGCCTTCTCCTCAGCCTTGGTCAGAGGCAGTTTGTTTGGGACGGGGTAACCTTCAGCCACCAGCGTCCGACGCTCCTCCTCGGTCAGGATGAGCGGTCCGGAACCCTGCAGCTTCTGCAGGAAGAGAACAGAAACTCAGCTATCGTCTTGCTAACGTACTACGTGCTTTTGCAGAACACGCAGCGCTTACATGAGGAGCGGTGAGCAGAGGGGAGTTGGACAGGGAGGAAGCGGCGCGAGGAGACACTTTGGCGCTGTTCTGTGATGGAGGAGGGCTGGTGGGGGAGGTGGGGCAAGACAAAGTGGGCGTGGCGTGGACAGGGCTCTGGCTTCCCTCCGAGTCGCTGCCGTGGGAACTGGGCGGAGTGGGAGGCAACTGAAGGGACTCCAGACCTGAAACGCACGAAAGTGGACGATGAGCTTCATCTCATAAAACCACAGATTTTTAGATTATTACACTAAATTTAAAGGCTGGAACTCATTCAAAATATTTTGAGGATTATATTTAATCTCATTTGGATAAGGAAGCAGGCAAGGGATTTAGGCTGCTAACGAGAATGCTGAGTCAGCATCCACACAACTGTTTTCCTGGTTTTGACAGCTTCGTACAGCGACTCTGCAAACATGTTGCCATTTCAGACACTCATTTATCAAAACATGCAGCTCATTCAGGAGATGGATGCTGAGACTCTTTACACTTCTAAAAATATTTAAACTTAAGAACAAATATCTTCATATATCTTCTATTGTTTTCTTATGTTACTATTAGCTTTCGGCTACAATTCTGCTACTTTGAACATTTAAGTTAGCCTTTTTCTTCATTTACATTTTAGCTTGCTCATTTTGGCTTTTAGATAGCAATTCACTTTATTTAGCTTTTGGCTAGTGTTAGCTGGCCTTTTGCTACATTTGGCTTTTAGCTGCATTTTAATTATTTTGGCTTTTAGCTCATGTTCTTTTCACCTTTTTAAACGTTCAGCTTCTTCACCACTAATTCACACAGCATTTTTGCAATAATCCCATTTCTGTTATTTTGAGTAGGTGTTCCTGTGGAGGCTGCACAGCTGCAGAAAGAAAAGCTTTGCAGAGAGTGGTGAAGGCTGCACAGAAATCTGTTGGAATCAGTCTCCCCACCATCACAGACATCTACACCTCCAGATGCAGGAAGAGGGCCACCTGCATCATGAAGGACCCCACTCACCCAGCACACACACTTTTTGCCCCGCTCTCCTCAGGAAGGAGGTTAAGGAGCATTGAGTGTGGAACCACTAGACTGAGGAACAGCTTCTACCCTGAGGCTGTTAGACTCATGAATCTCTAACTAGAATAATCGCTGTGAAAGACCATATCATGTTGCTGCTGATCTGTTTCATGTTGCTGCTGATCTGTTTCAATGTTGGTGTGTTCATGCGTGCACATCTGCTCACAGACTCATGTTCATGTTTGTGCTGATGTTCAATGTTTTATGTTATGAGTGCTTAGTGTATATTTGGTTGATGTTTTTCTTAGTTCATATCTTAGATGTTATTACTGTTTTTCTTATACATTTTATTGTCGGATGTAACTGGGACCCTGTGTACATAATTTCGCTCCACCACATGTACCACATGAGGTGCGAATGACAATAAAGAAACTCTGACTCTGACTGTGCCATTAAAAATGAGGTGTTGTTACAGAGAGTGGTCAGCAGGGGGAGATGCAGCAAAAGAAATAAGAAGCATTTAAACGTGAATTCGGACCTTTTGGTGAAAGATTGAGGAACTGGTCCACTTCATGAGGCTCCAGTTTAATCTCGGGGATTAAATTCTCCTCTTTGATCTGGAAACGCAGACGTTACAGAGTTACAAACTTTAAAAACAAACAATAGATCGCGTTGTGTCAGTGTATCTGCTCTCCAACCTTCATGCCTTTGCCCTGGTTGTTGCCGCTGACTGCAGTCTGAGCTGCAGGGGCCAAAGCGGGGCCTTTGGGCACTTGGGGCCCCTCGCAGGAGGACACAGAGAGAGAGATTGTAGGGAGCAGGGAGGAAGTTTCACACAAAAGGCTCTCGATGGCCTCCTCCTGCTCCATAGCCCACTCCGACGACTCCACGTCCGACTCTGCTGCAGAACAGAAAAACACCGACTCGTAAAACATTTGTTCCTGACTCGCCTCAGGCTGCACCAGAACAAATGCACAGTTATCAAACGTGCTTCTTTTTTTTTTTTTTATCACACTGAATTTCGAGACGGGAGTTATGCATTTTAATTTTAAATACCAGTTTTAATTAAGGAATAAAAAACAGGATCATATAAATTACTTCTGAATATTCCACATTAAAGGAACATGTCTCTGTTTTTATGTGACCTAATGAGACCGTAAAGATTTCCGAAGAGTTTGACCCCTAAAGTTTCATGATGAGTGAATTCTTAACGGGACGGTCGGAGCTGCACCTGCTTCGCTGCCGTGCTCTCCGGTCAGGTGCGAGAGCGGCGACTGAGGCCGACTGTCGCCGCACAGCGAGTAGCTGTGCTCGGCGGTGATGTGCGGGGGGAGAGGGGACGAGGACAGGTCGCTGCCGTCCTCTCCCTCCATGGACTCCGCTCCGTACTTCTCCCCGGACAGGAAGGGGTCGCTGAGCAGCTGGCCCAGCAAAGCATCCTGGGAGAGGTCGTCCAGGAGCTCAGAGAAGTGCTGCAGGGAGGAGAAAAGATAAAAACCCATGAAGGCAGCACAAACCGTTAAAGAACCTGAGGGAGCTCCTGTAATTAAACATTATTCAACTCTTTGTTGCCCCCCCCCCCCCCCTCTCTGTCTGACTCTCAGTGTGGTGACAGATTTACAGAACACACACAGACATCATCTTCACCACATTCCTTCATCATCCGCCTCCATCTCTGCAGGTGTTATGGCTGTGACTCTGCAGAACCGGGCTGATAAAAACCCCATGTCTCCAAACATCAACCCTGACTTTCTTTGAAAGGTTCAAACTTGTTGTTAGTCCGTCACTACTTGGATCGTTTAATCTTAACTCTCGCTAATAGTTGTTTTATTTCAACGCTAACTTGTACCAGAGTTTGTCACATTTCTTATTTTTTTAAGGTTTTAAAATGCATAAATAGTTCATTGAGCCCCATGAGATTTGTCTTCGTAAAGAAAAGTTCCAACTTTTCAGCCTTCATCAAATGTTGAAACTGAAAGAGGTTTCAAAGCTGAAAGTAGCAAAGCGACAGCTAAAAGCTAACGTTAGCATAGGAAAACGAATACTGAGGCAGAGCGAGTCTTTTAAAAGATGCAGCAAAGCTCAGTCAGGTCGTCTGGACGGTTTCTTTGTCTTTTAATTTTGTTGAGACTTTTCATCCTTCATCCAAAGGACTTCATCAGGCCGAGGAGCCACAACAAACAGAGTCCCACAGGCAGCACACTCACATAGTGGACTAGAGCTGGGCGATACCTCGATATTTAAAAAATATCAATACAATTGTTTTTGCGATATAAGTTGAGACTATATCAGCTTGAGGGAAGACGCTGTCTTTAGCCTTTTAGCTAGCGCACCTCGGCTCATTTAGTGGAATTTTCATTTTATAGAAAGAAAAAATATCGATACATATATCGTGATTTATCTTAAAATATCGCGATATTAATTTTGGTCCATATCGCCCATCTCTATAGTGGACCAACCAATTTGCTGGATTATTGAGCATGAGCTTTGATGTTTTGAACCACTTTGGCTACGGCTGCCTCAGAGGAGTTGACGGGGGAGAGGGCGGGCCCCAGAAACCATCTCATCTCCAACCAACTGGTTGGCCCACTACGGTTTGCTACTTGTGGGACTCAGTTTGTCGTGGCTCCTCGGACTGATGAAGTCCTTTGGATGAAGGACGAAACACATCAACAAAATTTTTAAAAAGAAACCATCCAGATGATCTGACTGAACTTTGTTGGATTTTCTACCTGGATTATTGAGCATGGACTTTGACGTCTTAAAAGATGTGTTAGTAAGAACAATGTTAGGAAATATTTTAAAATGGATAAAAGTTACAAAAAAACAAAAGTCAGAGCACCCATCTCCGGAATGAGCTGAACGTTTTTAAATAAGAATATAAAAATAGCACAAAGTGTGCCAGAGTAGATTGTAAAAAAAACATCCAGAATCATAAAAAAAGGGCAAATGATTGTGTGAAGCAGAAACCAGCTGAATACAGAATTCATACTTTTGATGCTTCAAAATCAAGAAAAAACAGAGTCATGTGACGTTTATTCAGTTCTTGTAAAAATTATTTTTGTTTGCGTATTTCCATCCGTCATTTCATAAATCTATTCTGAGCTGCTGAAGGTTTTATGGAGCCATAAAGCTGTAAAACGTCCATCAACGGGCTTTTCCTGGTGGAGGGAGAAAAGAGAAGCATCTGAGAAGTCCTCTGAAAGTCCAGGTTCCTGGTGCACCTAGACTTCTGCAGCATCTGGGCTGGATTTTGAAGTGGACGAGCAGAATTTATATATTTGGTTTCGTTCCAGACTCACAAAGAGGTGAAGCTTTCTCCATCCCATTAAGAGGACTGAACTCTGCACGTCTGTAAACACCAACAACACACCAAGACTAATATTTACACACTTAGCCCCCGATTTCTGATCCTCAGGACAGAGAGCAACACCAACCTCAGATGAGAACGGCACTCTTCACTTTACTTCCTCCTACTTTCTGTCTGTTAGCAAAATATCTCAAGAACTCCTGGACATATTTTAATGAAACTCTCAGAAAGAAATAAGCTGAGGAACATTTACAAGTCAATAACTTTTGGAGTCAACCTGGTTTAAGATGGCTGCTGCAGCTGCTTAACATTAGCAAACACAAAAGCGGCTGCAACTCAAATAATTTTACAGACACTGAGCTAAGGTTTGGAGTGGTAGTAGCTGAGAGTCACCCCCAACAAGGACTGGGAGTCTTATTTGATTTGCGGAGTTACATAAACAACAGCTCAGTTTACTTGTCAATACAGATGTTTTAAGGTTAAAAACAGAAAAACTTATTAAACCAGTTTGTTCAACAGGACAAGACTTCCATTTATTTACAGCGACAACAACAAAAAAGAAGATGGGTGAGGTTCTGACTCGCCTGTGCAGAATCAAAACCGCACTGAACTCCAAAATCCTTCTCTCCCTGTCATTTCTGCTTGCGGTGAATCGGGTGGAGTTCCTCACAGAACGCTCTTTGTGCCCCCATCAGAGAGGTGCTGTTTGGGCCCGGCTGTAACTCGACTCCGGCCAGCTGGGACACAGAACCAGTCAGGGCTGAGGCCCACATGAAGAAACGAGGAGCAGGAGTGAAGGAGCAGCGCAGGCGATAACAAAGAGTCTATTCTCTAATTCAGTGGTGCCCAACCCAGGTCCTTGAGGAACTCCATCCTGCATGCTTTGGTTGTTCCTCTGCTCCAACACACCTGAGGCATGATTTAATTACTTCCTTAAGTTCGATAGAAATCTGTTGATCACCCTTTCATTAAAATCAGGTGTGTTGGAGCAGAGGAACAACTAAAACATGCAGGATGGTGTTCCTCAGGGGCCAGGGTTGGGCACCACTGCGAGATGCAGACAGACTATCAGTCATCTGTAAAACCTTGTTCAGGTTCTGAGCAGTGCTTTAAATACGTCTGATCTTAATCAAACCAAAGATGAAGAGTCTGAACCGGGTCAGACAAAAAAAAATTAATCTGATGAAGTGAAGGACGAGAAAAGGACGGACCACAATTCATCCTGAGGGAATACAGTCTGATTTCATGTGAATCCATCCAAATGTGTTACACTATTTTAATCTGAACTAAACTTTGTATTTAATTATCAAAATCAATGAAGTTTAATTAAGATTTTACTTGTATATTTTGCCTGTCTGTTAGCAAAATATCTCATGAACCACTGGAGGGATTTTAATGAAACTCTCAAAAAGTGATTACAGAATGTACATTTAAAACTGAATAATGTTTGGAGTTAATCCGATTTAAGTTGGCTGCCACAGCTAATCCACATTAATACACAGAGAAACGACTATACGTTACTAGAACTGCCTTCTTCCACCTGCGTAATATCATTAAAATTAGAAACATCTTATTTAAAAAAGATGCAGAAAAACTGGTTCATACATTTGTCACGTCTAGACTGGACTATTGTAATGGTTTATTATCTGGGTGTCCAAATACTTCTTTAAAAAGTCCTCAGTTGATCCAAAATGCTGCTGCCAGAGTCTTAACTGGAGTTAATGGGAGAGATCATATCTCTCCAGTTTTAGCTTCTCTCCATTGGCTCCCTGTCAAATCCAGAATTGAATTCAAAATCTTACTTCTAATCTACAAAGCTCTCAACAACCTGTCTCCATCTTATATTACAGATCTTATTGTTCCATATTTTCCTAACAGAGCACTTCACGCTCAGACTGCAGGTTTACTTGTGGTTCCTTGAGTTTCCAAAAGCAGAATGGGAGGAAGATCTTTCAGTTATCCGGCTCCTCTCTTGTGGAACCAACTTCCAGTTTCTGTCCATGAGACTGACACATTGTCCAGTTTTAAGACTGGGATTAAGATTTTCCTTTTTGATAAATCCTATAGTTAGGGTTGGCTTGTTATGCTGCTATAGGCTTAGACTACTGGAGGACAAACTGACCTAATTTCCTTAAATTAATTGTTAAAACTGAATAGTTTTCATTTGATATAATTTCTTAACATGTGACCTGCCATTGTGTATCTGTTCCTCTAAAACCCAGTTGGTCGAAGCAGATGGTCCGATTGTCCTGAGCTTGGTTCTGCTAAAGGTTTCTTCCTCATGAGGGAGTTTTTCCTTTCCACTGTCGCCTTCATGCTTGCTCAAGATATGAGAGCTCTGTGATGAAGTTAAACTCAAAGCAGTCTGCTCCTCAGATAAATAATGTTTAATTATTATTTTTATATATGAATGTTTCTGTTCAGTGCCCTGAGACGACTTCAGTTGTGACTTGGTGCTATAGAAATAAACTGAACTGAACTAAAATGTACGGATATTAAGCTAAAATTTAGTCTAGAAGTAGCTGAGCGTTATTTATGTTTAACCAAAGTGGATATAACTCGACGTATCATCTTAGTCTAAAACTGTGCCGTGAAATTTGGTGGGCGATGTGCATTTCTTCAAGTCATGCTAGGCCTTCGTTTCATGTTTGACACTGGCACTGCTGCTTGCTGCGGTAGCGCAGTGATCACTGCTGCGGTCTCGTAATCCTGAGCCTGCAGGTTTGAGCCCAGGTTGAGTCGTGAACGAGGAGGCGAGGCGTTTAATGCTCCTGCTGGTCAGTAAATCCTCGGTAAAGTAGGCTTGTTTGAACCCTCAGCGAGTGCAGCTTTTAAGCTACAAACAGGAAAGTCTGATGATGCAACACTTTCCTCCCTTTAAAGTCAAACCAGATGTGTGGGGACGAAGGAAACACACCAATGGCTGCCTAACGGATCTAAAGTCGCACACGTCCAGCTCTGTAAGTGTGAGTCCAGCTGATTGTGTGCGCTGTACCTTGCCCTGGACTCGGCTGTGTGTACCCTGCAGATGTCAGGACACTCGCTAATAAAACAAACATCCTAAAACGTCCGTATCAGGACAAACACGAATGACTCATTAGTTTGATTGGGATCCAGATCTTTGGCTTTTTAAAAGTCACAAATTCTCAACACGTGCTCAAC